GGCAGCTGCACCGCACAGAGGTCGGCGCCAACTTCATCATCGACACACGTGAGAGGGCATGGCCGCATATCGAGCTGACTGCAACTCGTCGCTCTTAGAGGGTGAGTGGTAGGAGACAGAGCAATGCATCCATCGCCCTCATCCCGTGTATGTGTGTGTGTCGTCAGCCTGAGGCTGTCTGTCGAGCGCACAAAGGAAGACGTCGCTTTTCTGCCGACCCTTGTTTGGTGAACCGATGGATGACTGGATGGCTGGATGGCTGGATGGATGGCTGGATGGCTGGATGTTCTCCCCTGTGTGTGTGCCGGCTGATATAGCTCGTCCATCCCACACACACCGAGGCACAAGACACCTTAACACACTGTGTTGTGGGCTGACAGACACACACAGTGAGGGCAGAGAAGCGGTCTCTTGACTGACGTGGCTTTCTGTGTGTGTGTGTGTGGGAGGGGGTATGTCTTTTGTTGTCGGTGTGCGCACGTGTGGTTTGTGCCACAGGGACGGGATGGGCGCATTCAAACGGAACGCCGCCATTTAGATTTCAATTTGTGTGAGTGTGTTTGGTCTTTATGTGCTAGCTGGTGTGTGGAATGATGGACACATGGATGGACACCTTTATCTGTCGAGTCGCTGACTTTCGTACTGTACAGCTGTGCGTGTCTGTGTGCGTGGACCAATGTGAAGCTGTGCAGATCTCATCTCGCGTACTGAACCAGTCTGTCTCCGATGACACACGCAGTCGAGAAGCGTCCATTCACACACATCAGACACACACGGACACACACAGATACAGCCAGCAGGTGGGCGCGGGAGGGGTGAGTCGGGCTGCGTAGAGGAGGTGCAGCTGTGGACATCCACACCAACACAGAAAACAACGGCTTCCACCCACCGACACAGAGAATCACCATTTATTCCAATGGTATCCTGGTGTGCAATGAACGCACTGCTGGCTCGTCCGTCCATCCATCCATCCACCCTCCAATCATCGATTTCAAGAAGGCTTACAAGTCCAAAATCTCACTCACTTTGTCCGTCGGTCTCAGTCCATCCATCCATCCACCGCCCCACCGCCCCCCACCCACATAAACGGCACCTGCACACAAAAACTCTCCCCAACTGAAGTGTGTATCCCTCCCTCCCTGTGGTGTGCTCACACGTCCACACACAACACAGCCAGTATCTGTGTCTGTGTCTGGGAAAGTCAGTCGAGACTGCTCCCTCCCTCCCTCCCTCCCTCAGTGCTGTGCGGTCGCACTCAGTTTACAAAGGCAGGCATTTCTTCTCTCGTTCGGTTCGGCGGCTGCTGCGGCGGCTGGAAAGTCCCCCACCCCCCACCCCACTCACTCACTCTCCACTCAGTCCTTTCCTTCTGACAATCGGCACACAAACCGCCTAAACACACAGACACATGCACAAACAATCCCTCCCTCCCTCTCTGTGTCTGCGTGCGTGTGTGTATTCTCTCACCATCTCTCTCTCTTTGTGTGTCTATGCGGCCGCCTGTCTCTCCGTCGGTGTGGTCACAGGACTGTCTCCCGATTGTTGCTGTGGTGGCGGTGGTGGTGGTGGCTGGGCGAGGAGGCGTCTGATGTCAGGAATGAGGTCGTTGGGGGCCTTGACTGTCCATGGAGAGACAGAGAGAGAGAGGTTGCTGTTGTTTGTGTCGTTTTTGGGCGATAGGTGCGCACAGACACAATGCATTTCTGTCTGTCTTTCCTGAAGTAAGCACATGAGGGGTGGCGGCTGATGAGGTTGCCATTGCGGTCGATCAGGAACTTCTCCTGATCGACACACACAGGGAGGGAGGGAGGGAGGGAGAGCAGATGAGATGCTCACACGCAGGGGGCGGTGTGGGTGGGTGGGTGGGTGTGGGTGGTGGTGTCGGTGTGAGTGCTCACGAAGTTCCACTGGATGTCGTTGGGGCCCTTCCCCGTGACGAAACTTAGCAGGGGGTTGCTGCGGTGAACACACACCACACAGACACACAGGCACCCCACACAGAGAGAGTAGACACACACATGGCTGCGCAATAGGTCGGTCTCTCTCTCTCTCTGTCTCCGTCTCTGTCTGTCTGTCTGTCTGTCTGTGTGCGTGTGTCTGACTGACAAGGGTGACGCCGATCCTGACGGGAGGTTGTCCTTGAGGTACTCAAACAGGGGGTGAGCATTCTTGCCGTTGACATCTTCACACACACACACACACACACACACATGGATGGATGGATGGATGGCTGGATGGATGGATGGCTGCGTGGGTGCGTGGTTACCGACCGATTTTGGACATTAAGCGGCCTGGGAAGGTTGGGTACTTATTCTGCACCTGCACAGACAGACACACAGACACACACAGACAGACAGGCAGGCAGGCAGGCAGACAATGAGCAGAGAGGGAGAGAGAGAGAGGGAGAGGGATACTCACCCACACTTTGATCTGGTCGTTCGGGAGTGGCTCCTACACACACACACATCTCGGATTAAAGGGCCTGCGCGTCTGTGTGCATATATATGTCTATGTGTGTGTGTGTGTGTGTGTGTTTGCTGCCTACCTGGTTCCCAAACTGCGAGCAAGGGAACGCCAGGATCTCGAAGCCCTCGTCCACAAGTGATTTCATGCCGCTCATGTCGTTGCTGAAGCAGGCACAACACATAGAAGTGCGTGGCCCTCCCCGCCTCACACCCACTACACTCACTAGTTGGCCTTGGTGAAGCCACACCTGCACACACACACACACACACACATACACACACACGCATCCGCCCAGAGGCCGACATGGAGAGAGAGGCCGGCCGACCTGCTGGCGACATTGACGACCATGACGGGCTTGCCCCTGAACTGAGCCATGTCGACGTCATTGCCATCGATGTCCTGCCCAACACACAGACACACACATCCATCCACCCATCAAGATGATGAAGTGGTTAGTACAGACAGACCGACCTTGGCCGTGTAGCGATAGAAGGGCTTCTCCCCCCCTCCCTCTCCCGGCTGCTGCTGCATCCGGACAACATTCCGATTGGCCTTAATGCCCGGAGCTGCCGCACCAGGTGATAACCTGCCAGCCACCCGGCACCACACACACACACACACACACACACAGAGAGAGGTGGGATTCGGTGAGTCGGTGTGGAGTCTTTCTCGCTCTGTGTGGGCCACCCACCTGTGCACCACTTGCGACGACGGCCTGAGGAGAAACGCATTGGCCACTGCGGCGGCGGATGAGAGCGCCACTGCCAGTGTGAGGAGGGCGCGTGCCAGCTTCATCGCAGAGGAACGATGCGCCATCTGCCTGTCTGTCCGCGTGCCTGCACACACACGCACACACACACACACAGAGTGGCTGGATGGATGGAATGCTGCTGTGCTCGAGCCTGCCTGCCTGCTTGTGTGTGCACTGACCTCAGCGCCCGGGGTTTGATGCAGAGGTTCGAGAGCGAAACGGGCCTGACGTGATGACAGCAAACAAAGATCCAGTGCGTTGCGCGTGCGGGTGGCTAGAGTTGGGAGTCCTCGTGGAAAACGTCTCTGTCGGAAACTTCGCTAAGCTCGCAGATGGATCGCCCCAAGGGAACATCTCATCGCGCGGCTCTGTTGACGTGACACAGTGTGTGGGTAAGGAAATGGATCATGCTGACACGAAGATCAGGAAGATCTGCAGTTGTGTGGTGTGAGGGGTGTGCTTGTGAGGTGATGCTTACCACCACAGTATGCTTATCGCCAGCCAGCGATCTCGCCTGTACAGAGGACCCGCCGGCTTCAGCAGGATTTCAGGACTGCTGGACTTACTGGTAAGACGCCGATAACCATGATCCCAGCATGGATGAGCACCTTGTCCGCCTTATTGTGTGGTGGATGAGTTGCTCGAAGCGGACCTGCACGATGTGTGTGCGTATGCAGGAAGGAGGAAAACACCCATCCAATCGGGTGTGGGGGACTGTATGTGTGTATGGTGCAGATGAGGTTTTCCCGTGCCTCCCACCATCCGCCTCGTGTGTGTGTGTGTGTTACGAGTCCATCTGTGCGTCTCTGGGTTGGCCTGCCATGCGTAAGCAGCTGATTTATTAGCGGAAAGAGAACTGGCAGCCTGTCGTTGCGGCTGAGTGTGTGTGAATGTGTGAGTGCCACATGCAGGTACACTGTTCCTTGCCAGTGAGCCATTTGCACACATACAGTCCATGGACTGATCTGATCTCCCTTTGTGTGTGTGTTGTAACACTGTCTCTCTCGACATTGTTTCACCATCTTTTAGTGTCTGTCTGTCTGTTTGTTTGTCTGTTTGTCTGTCAAAGCAAATTCCCTCCCTCCCTCCCTCACGCAACCGAATCCCCGACCAAACAGTCACCACAAAGTTACTCACTCATCAATCGAGCCATGAGATCAGCACGGACACACACACACATGGATGGATAGAGGACACAATGACGCACTCACCCACAACCACACACAGGCCTGCACCAAGTCACCATGGGGGTGGCCTCATTCGACAAGGCGGCTTGCCTCACACAAGGGTGTGTTGTGTTGCTCAGCAAGATAGAATGGGTGGTCTGGTCCAGCCCTCCATCTGTCCATCCGTCGACGGGTTACAATTCTTATGGATACATACTTGACACACAAATGACACACCACACACGGCTTGCTGCTGACTGAACAAACGACACACAAGAATCACCGTCGTCACGTCACTCATTGTCTGTCTTGTCCGTTATGGTGTCCTCATTCTTAGCGGTCTCAGCGGCCTGTGAGTGAGTGAGTGAGTGAGTGAGTGAGTGAGATAATCACACACAGCACACACACAAATGGGACAGGCAGGCCTTTGCGCAAATATGCATTCAGACATACCGACATATCTGGTGGGTGTCTGCTGTGCTGGTGGTTTCTGCTGTGTCTGTGTGGACGGCTGCCTCGGCCGAAGCGACCACTTGCTGCTGCTGGACAAGTTCCTCCTGATCAGCCTCCACCTGGGCCATCTGACCGACCATCCATCCATCCATCAATCCATCTGTCCTTGCCCAGCCTTTGTGGCTCACCGCATCGTTGTTCAGCTGTGCCGTCATCTCTGCAGCCGACTGTGATGGCGACTCCCCCGCCTTAACGCTCCCATCACCACCAGCGGCGGGGGCCTCCCAAACCGTTATGGGTGGCACCGGTGCGGCCTCATATTCCTCTGCTGCCGTCTGGACTTCAGCGTCGGCATGAGGCTCACCATACATACATACACACACACGCACACACACACACACGTCAAGCCTCCATCCATCCATCCATCCATCCATCCATCCATCCATCCATCCATGTTTCCTTCCATTTTTGCATACCTTCTGTGTGTCGTCGCGGCTCTAGGCTTTAGGCTTTAGGGTTTAGGCTTTAGGCTTTAGGGTTTAGGGTTTAGGCTTTAGGGTTTAGGGTTTAGGGTTTAGGATTTAGGGTCTAGGGTTTAGGGGTCTAGGGTTTAGGGTTTAGGGTTTAGGGTTTAGGGTTTAGGGTTTAGGGTTTAGGGTTTAGGGTTTAGGGT